ACTTGCAATTTCTTGCTTTCGAACTGCTAGGTTGGCAGGAGCTGGAACTAGAGACAGGAGCTCACCCCGTCTTGCGGCACCCGGGTCTTGAACTGCTGAACTACTGACCTTCCACAGCCTGCAGTACAGCGTCTTAACCACTTGAGCCACCGCAGCTCCTACAGTACAAGTAGAGTTGCAATAAAAACGCGGAATGGATTTTACATTAGAGTCTCTGGGCCCAAATAGACTACTCTGGGAATGGAATGAGAGACCATGAAGTGGAATGAGATGGAGCTGATCTGGTGACAGCTACACACATTCCAGAATATTTAAATGTAAAGTATTTCACTCTACAGTTTGCAAATCCAGTTGCACAGAACTGTCTCTACACCCAGGGTCTCTCCTTCTACTCTGGGGCCTGTCATTCCAGGCCCATAAGCCTCCTGAAATTCCAGGGACTGTCAATCCACCTTTGAGCCTGTCATTCCATTCCCAGAATACTCCCAGGAGCTGTCATTCCACTTAGTGGTATCCCATTCCAGTTCCAGAACACTCCTGCCATATCTAGGGGCTGTCATTCGACTCGGGTTTGTCATTGCAGTCCCAGAATATCCCCACTACTTGCACAGACTATCATTTCACTTAGTGATCTCCCATTCCAGTTCCAGAACACTCCTACCACTCCCTAAGGCAGTATTCCAGTCCAAGACCACTCCTGAAAATTTAACCCCCCACTACTATTTTACTCATATAATTTAGATAAGAACATAAGAGAAGCCAATGTTGGATCAGGCCAGTGGCCCATCCAGTCCAACACTCTGTCACACAGTGGCCAAAAATACCAGGTGCCATCAGGAGGTCCATCAGTGGGGCCAGGACACTAGAAGCCCTCCCACTGTTCCCCCCCCCAAGCACCAAGAATACAGAGCATCACTTGCCCCAGACTGAGAGTTCCTATCTATACCTTGTGGCTAATAGCCACTGATGGACCTCTGCTCCATATGTTTATCCAATTCCCTCTTGAAGCCATCCATGCTTGTAGCCGCCGCCACCTCCTGTGGCAGTGAATTCCACATCATTAATTTTCTTATGATACTGATCCTTCCTTCCTATTCTGTAAAATTCTTACACCCCACCCACATTTGTGCTGTCTGTCATGGTTTTGGTCCTCTAATGGCCTACATTTGCTCCCAAAATACTCCAGGTTTTCAGACAGAACCATGAGATCTGAAAAATGTAGCCAATGAGCAGTGAGCAATGAGAGCAGTGAGCAATGAGATCTGAACAATGTAGCCAATGAGCAGCCTCCAAATATAGGGCATGAGATTTTTTTTTTTGTCCTCACAATTTTTGTATGTGTGTTTGTTTGTTTTACCTTCCTGGTCATTTAAGTAGAATGTTGGGTGTTTCCTGACTCTTAAAAACCAGCAATGACAAGTGGGGTTTCAGTAAGCATAACTGTTCTGCATTGTATATGCTCTCTTTAAACGTTTTTGCCTAGTTTAATATAAACACTGCTGAACATCTAATCCATATATAAAAGTATGCAAGGTGTGTAATGCAGCCATTTTAATACTGTTGAAGAAATACCTGTTGGATCTTTCTGAATTTTATGAACTCAGTTACACTGGATTATTTAGGTTAACATTGAATGGCCCTGTTTACTTATTTAATAGCTTTTCCTTTTGCTTCCTTCAAACCACAGACATACGTAAATGCTGGATGTTTGTTCTAAAGTCCTTCATAGCTAATTTTAGCATGTGGCTCTTCCAAGGGAGCAAAATGAAACCAAAATGGACAAATGTACTAGTGCCTGATTTTAGTCACTCACAGTTGAGTATAAAATTGAAATAATTTTTACCCTCTAATGCTAGACATAATTACATACAAAAATAAATGTGCTAAAGACTGTTGTATAGGAATTAGTCCTCGGCATCTCAGAGCTATTAAGACAAAATGAGAAAACTATCAAACACAGGGATGCTCAAGTCTCATTTTTTGTGGCTCACATCTCCATGAGCCAGACTGGAAGTAGACTCCGTCTAGAATGGAATGTGCTTCTTAGGCAAAATGAGAAGATGCCTCTCTCTGCCAGTCTCTTGTTGCAGAGTTTCATTTTGGTTTTTGGCTTGGCAATACCACTTCCTGGTGGGGGGGAAGCCATCTCTCCAGGCTGAAGAAGCTGCCCACTACCAGCATCTAGCCTCTATGTCTAGCCTAATGCACCAGGTCTTCAGCTTCAGCTTCAAAAGCTCCACCTCCCCCCACCCGTAACAAAGCTTAGAATGACTTCTTTTCCCACAAACAAATCCAGTTTTCATGGCCAGAGTTCTACAGATTCTCGCCATACTGGATAAATTGGTAAAAAATGTATCTAGGGGGGGAAAACTTATTCCCTCTTTAATGGATCTGTACATGCACCACTGAAATAAAATGTCCTTTTGCATCTGGTAACATATCATTATCTAAGGACCCACAGTTCTCTTTTCCCCTGCCATTATCTTCTAATGTGTTTGGAAACCCTATCTTTACTATGTCTGTAATTTTCTTGGTGTGGTATTTTAAGTTAACTTGTTCCGTGATGCCAAGATGTATCCTTTTCCAGCTCTCGACTAACCAAATCTTATGGCTCAAGCCTTTGGTGGGTGACCAGTGCCTTGTGCCACAAGATTATGAGTTCATTCTCTGTGTTTTAAAATGTGTTCACTCTTGGCGGGAAATTTGCTGCTTAACTGTCAGAATGGGTACACCATTCTTTCTCAGTGGTTGGTCCCAGTTTTCTGGAATGGGCTCCCCAAAGAGGTGAAGAGGGCACTATTCTTGGAAACTTTAAAAGAGTTTTGGTAAGGTTATTTTTATTTGCCAGAATTTTTAATGGTATGTAAGCTGCAGGCATTTTATTAGGATGGGGAGAGGAACTGGGGTTTTATGATTATTTGATATTTTCCATTATGGATTGTAAGCTGCCTTAAGCCACGAGGGATTCAGGATATAAATGTTTTAATAAATAAGCATGCATTACTGGCTTAAATTTATATCCCAGGTACCTGTAGATCAGTATAAACTCAGGATAAGGTAAGAGGACAGAAAGGGGAGGGGAGAAGAGGAGAAAATGTTTCTTCTTGAGCTCTGATCTGTTCTCTAAACACAATTCAAGATGGTACTTTTAACAAATAGATATTTGTTAGATAAATACATGGTAAGATAAAATGCCATGGCAATAAACATTCTATATTCTCCCAATACCTTTATCCTTGTGATAATGTTAGTGTTTTGGACAAAATCATCCATTGTAACCTCACCGAACACTGCAATAGGGCCCATTTAAAATTGTAAATGTTCACCCCCTGCCCAATTCCCTTAATTACTGTGAATCAAGTTCTAAAGTTCCCATAGCTTTCAGAACGCAACCTGATGCTGCAGTGCGACTACAAATGGGACACAAAAGTGTATTACAATTCATGTAAGAAGAAGAAGAGATTGGATTTACACCCCGCCCTTCACTTGGAGTCTCAGAGCGGCTTACAAACTCCTTTCCCTTCCCCTCCTCACAACAGACACCCTGTGAGGAGGGTGGGGCTGAGAGAACTCTGACACAAACTGCTCTTTCAGGAACAGCTGTGCCAGAGCTTGTGACTGACCCAAGGTTGTGACTGACCCAAGCAGTTGCAAGTGGAGGAGTGGGAATCAAACCCGGTTCTCCCAGATTAGAGTCCGTGCATTTAACCACTACACCAAACTGGCTCCTAATGTAATATTAGGACTACACATAAATGGAGAAATTATCCATGTTCCAGAACATCCAAGAGCTTCAGCTGAGAGCTTAACTAAACATTACATAGACCAAT